TAAATTTGGTAAGAATATGGGTACAAAGATAAAAATAAAATAGGTCGCATGGTCAAGGGTTTGAATAAAGGTTCAACTGGTCACTGCATTCAACCAAGATCATGAGGATCACATGATCTCTCAGACATGCTTGTCCGTTTTGTTTCGGAACTTTGGGAGTTAGTTTAGGTGTAACAGTGCCCATCTCTAGTTATTATCGTTATAGTTCTAAATTTACTGAATTGTTTCTATTTCGAAAAATTTTGATTGCCGTGGTCAACCTAACTTTAGAGGCTTTGAAGACGCGGATAGCTTGTTTATAAAATATGATATTGGAAGGATGTGCAAAATGGTTACAGTGTGCAACAAAAGATTAAAAAAAAAGATTTATCTGAAAAATTTGATAAAGTGATCTTTTCCTTATTTTAAACCAAATTAGACATGTCGTTATATATAGACCTTTTGCATTGGACATTACCAAGTGAGACTTTGGATAGATAATACAGTAAAAGATTAGAACACTTACTTTTTTCACATTGATTTAAATTAATATAACAGATCTTTTATTGTCGAAAGCAAGTTGTATAATTACTTTATATATATACTATATACCAATTAATTTTACTTATTTGCAGTATATAGACATTAAGTATAGAGACCTTATTAATTGATATATTTAACATAGCCTATAGTATCTCTTAACTCATGTTGATTTAGTCTGTAAACATAACGACTATTCATTAATCAACTTGTTTAAGATAAGCTAGCTAAGTTCATAGGTTTATTCAAGTTGATTTAGGATGAGTATTAACCCTTATTTACTATTGTATAAAATCTTAGTTTTTATTTTATTGTATATAATAATTTACTGCATTTTTCAAATTACTATGATCAGCCAATGTCGGCTTTGAACGAAGGATCTTACTAAATGGCCTGCCTTATTCTCAATGTTCAAAGCTATTTTTCGTATCGGATATTCTACAGATTAATAGGATTAGAAAATAGTCTTAAACATTTAAATTAACCAAGCACTTTATTGAGATACCTTCATCAAAGTTCAAAAACACAAATAATATTAAGCAATAGGATAAAAATTGATTATCAGTTATATAGACAGTATAATTTTTTAGTCAATAATAAATTTGCGGATTTCTGTGCATAATTTGAAAACCGCAGTAATCAGATCATAAAATCAATTTTCTTCGGGCATTATTAAAAAATAGGTAAAATTTGAGTAGCAAATATAGTATGATTTTTTAGAAGAGTAAGCAATATAAGAAAAAAATTAGGATTGAGTGCGTATTTTCATTGTCACATGATAAGATAGATAAGAAGATAATTAAGACTTTGCCAGAGACATGACTTGATAATTTAATAAAATAATTTTATTAAAAAACTTATATTGCTGAATATGATATTAAAAATTCTATCTTTATAATAATATGATTATAACAAGGGGCTTTGCTATATCTAAAATCATTAAAACTCTAAAGAAATCTTATTTTAATAGTCAAAAATAAACAGGTTTTATTTTATGGTAATATTACAACCACCAATGCTACTTTTTTTTTCCATTGCCAGCAGTGATCCAGGTAGTTGTAAGGGGAAGATTGAAGATCAAGGAACCCAGTGATATCTTCATGATAGTCACATCACATGATTAAGTGTTCGGCCTACGTTAGGGTTAGTGTTAGGGTTAGGTGATATGTTAGTTTAGGCTAATTTGTTTAGTGCTAGTAAACAAATGACGTAATTGCATTATTTCACGTGATGTGTTGATCAATGGGTTCCTTGTTCTTCAAGTGTCCCGTTGTAAACTACATGGATACTTGTCATCGTTTGCAGGTCTAAAAGGGCCTCTATCAGCTATGTAACACAGGTTGCTGGTAGCAGAAAAAATTCGTAATTAGGTGGTTGCCGGCCATTTCCAACCTACATGAAATCATAATATACTATTTGCTATTAATAAATTTTTAATATACTAGGCTAATGCGTTGCATTATGTGTCCAGAGCACATGATGATCATTATATAACACAAATGCGTGAGTGTGCATATTTTTGTTACACTTAAAACACAAATATAGACACGCGGCATGACTGACAGAAATTTTCAAATTACATTTCTGATGTGATCTTTATAATTCTTATGCAGATGCATCAAAAAGGTAACTATTTTTGGAAAATGGCTAAAGCCCGATGCATTCATATGTTTTTGATTATTTAATTATAATTAGAGTAAGGGTTAGTTAGGAGTTAGGGTTGGAGCAGTTTTTATAGGTAAAATCATCTTTCTGACATTTTTTATTAATACTTCAAGACAGGTTTAGACACTCGTTTCTTGTATTTTTGGCGTTTTTCATTTTTTTTCTTTGTTTTTGTCTCACCGGGCTGATCTGGGTTAATTAAAATTTATATTTTGATTGGCTGTTAGTCACGTGAACACACCTGGCTTTAGACGGTCCCTATTTTTGGCCCAAATGCATCAAAAATGTAACTTTGTATCACCTTGCATAAAAATTAAGGGTCCATTGCTATGCTCTGACCAATGAGTGCACCAAAGGAAAACAAGATTTCAATCATATAAGTGTTATATGATTGAAGTCTCATTTTCCTTGGCATCGCTCATATATCAGTTGTTTGATTCATAATAATAAAGTTTGAAAATGTATGATCACCTGATCACAAATTTTTTCAGCTATCATTATTCTACCTATATAGCTCTTGTTTGTAACTTATGTTTATTGGTTTGCATAATTGTAAATTTTGTTAGGTTATTAAAAAAAAAAAAAGCACTTGATTATCTGGTTTTTTTGTGTGGTTATATATATTATTATTAATAAATAAAATTTTTGTTTAATTACAATTTCTGACATCAATATCATATGTATATTACTTTTTTATCACATTTGCAAATCGCAATAAAAGCGGTAATATTAATATTAACTAATTGTGGCTGCACTATTAATTAATTTGTATAACATATATACATAAGTAAAGCTTCTGTGAAAAGAGAATTATCCTTATTAGATTTAGAAAGTAATTCTCTTACGTAGTAATAAAAGTAATAAAGAGCTTTATATTGAAGTAACCATAATAATAGCATTAGTGGCAATAATAGAGATAATTTAGTTAATGAATAAATATAAAAGAAATATTAATTAAATCATAGATGTTTTGAGTAGTGAATTTTTCTTCTTGTTTTCTTTCTTACAGGAATTATTTGTTTTCTTTTTACATTTTACTTTTATTTATTATTTTATTATTTTTTTTCAAATCTATTTCATAATATTTAATCTATTTAATCTATTTAAAATTTATTTTGCCTTCTTCTCTTTCTATTGGTATTATTCTTTTTTTTTGGTTTAAAACTAGAAGAGGTAATCAAAAGCCACAAGACCATTAGCATAAAAAAATTTCTTATTTGTTTTTTATTTCTTTTTATTTGTTTAAGTTTAATAGTATTAATTGTCTTTCTCAACTTTTTGCTAACTACCTGGGTTGTAGGTTTAATGTTTTCAACTTTTTCATAATTTTTGGCTTATTAATAACAATAATTGCTTTTTGTCTATTATCTTGTTTCAATTGTTCTTTTTTGATTTGAGGTTCAATTTTTCTTTGAGGTCATGAAAGTAAACAGTATCAGTGAGCAGACTACATAAGTAAAAATTTTGAAGAAATTCTTAATAATAAAGAAAACCTTACTTAGCAAAATAAATTAAACAGAATTAAAAAGAAAATAACTTTTTTAAATATAGTAGTTTATTTGCTTTCTATGCTTTATCAATATTAATTGGTATTATATATAGTATCTTTGAAATGAATAAAGTAGATATCTTGATAGCTGTAGGTGATTTGATTTTGGAATGTTTTAGTAATTGGAGAAAGAAAAAACTTTATGAACAAGAGAGTGAATTAACAGAAGAAGAAAGTAGTTTAGAATATATTGAATTAGAAGATAGAGTCAGGAGACTAGAAGAACAAATTCAAGAAAATTAACATCAAGCCCAGAATGAAATTTTTAGCCAATTTTTCCTCTCCCAATAAACTCCTCAGTTATAGTTGTTAGACAAAACCTTGAGGTTTCACAATAACAAAACATGAAATCTAGTTTTGTCTTTCGTCAATTAAAATCCTAAATAACAAAACTGCAAATAGTGACATAACTAATAAAGACAAAGATACAGATAAATATTGTTAAAACTCATTGAAGATAATGTGAATAAAAAAATAAACTAACAAAAACAGAAATTTATAAAAATTACAAAAATTTTATTGTATAATATATGCTTGAATTGTTTAAAGGGAGTTATAAATAAGTATTCTATATTGTATTATACTAGTATACTACATATCAGTTCTAGTGAGAAATCACTTGGTACTTACTTTGTATTTGTGCCAGTATGTTTTAATTCTTATTTGTATTATTCTATGAGTACTACAGTATGTTTTTTTTGACAAGGTTATTTTAACTGGTTTATAACAACCCTAGCATTGATCAGAAAAAATAATGAATTATTTTGTTTATATGTAATTCAGATACTGATTTTTGGATAAATTATGAATGTTTATTCATGATGATGCCAAACCAAACTAAAATTAACCAAAAAAATTCAAAACAACTGCAGAACTAAATAAAATACTTATTTTGATACCTCTAATTAAAAAACGTAAGTTTTTTTATAATAAATATTAAGAGTTATATATTAATATAATATTCTGTATTTTTTATTTTATATCTTTTTATACTTACAAATTTATTCTATTTGACTTTAAAGCATTTAAGTACTTTGTGAATTATAGAAATTGTATAATTTAGAAGTTTATTGTAGCTTATTAAATTATTGAGTCTATAAACATACTTATAGCTATAGTGTAAAATAAATACAATATACAGTATATTGTATTAACTGTAACAAGAAAGGTGTACTTTAATTAATATTTATAAAATAAAATTTGCAACAAACCAAAATTTTACTTCAAGTTAAATATTAGCAAAGTTGAATTAATTATTAACCCAATTTCAGATTTATAATCAAATTTTTATATATAGATGCTATATATTGCTATATATACATTAAAATAACATTAAATGTTAGTAAATTTAAGGGTAGAGGGTATGTCGATCATTTTTCATATGATTTATGTAGTACAAAAGAAAATAATATGTTACAAAAAATACACCCCTGATAAAAATTTTTAAAGTCACGATTAACTCTTGTCAAAATTTTGTAGCATGTAAATTAAAACCTCTATTTATAGTAGAGAAATTTTTAGAAGCAATTACATTTTAAAAAAATATACTTATATATGCAGTAAAACTTTTTTGAAATAACCCAAAATTTTTTGGGTTACTCTGAAAGTTATTCTGAAATTTTCTGTGTAGTAATTTATTCTATTAGACTTCTAGAATAAATAGCTTACCCAATTATATTTTTGTATTCATAAAAAAACAACTAAACTTTGCTATGACATGAAAACCTAATAAACCCAATACAGTATAGTAAAACCTCTATAAGTGCACTCTCTATAAGTACACCTTCTTTAAATACACGCTTAAGTTCTAGCCCAAATATATAAATATTCTTTTTTTTTCTTGTTGATCTCTAAGTACATATTGTTAAAGCTTGGTTCAAGAATGTACACTTATAGAGGTTTTGCTATAACTTCAAATCTGCCCTTACAGCATATACATATGTATGTTTGTAAATAAAAAAAGGTATATGAAATGAGAGTTACCAAGAGACACAATGTTTTGACCTATTTTAAGAATTTTACAGATATATATAAAATCTAAATGCTTTGATAAAGTAATTGTCTTTTTTCTTTTTTTTTTTTTTATAAATGTTTCAAGTATTTGGAATCAGAATCCATATATTGTTTTACAAATTCGAGGTAACAATTGTGTTTTCGAAGCTATTTTAGGTCGTGATTCATTGTAAACCCAACAGTAAGTTTCTACGTAGTTAATATTTCGTATAATGAATTCAATATAATATCTGAGGCTTTGGTAAACTTTTTATTAAATAAATACTATCATTCATAGGTAACTGTTATAAAGATAGAATTAGAGCTAAAAAGAATGAACATAAGGCATTTATTCATTGGCAAAAATGGGGCTTATAATATTTATAATATATCATTGAAACTAAGTCATTTTATTATCAAAATCAGCAGTAATAGAACATGCTAGTAGAACAAAAGAAGTTAGATATTGTTACTATTAAGAAATCAGTATTAACCAGAATATATTTATTTATTATCAAGCATTAGCAGAGATAGAGGATGCAGGCAGAACATATAGTGTTGAACATTACTATTATGTGTATTGTTATAACATTAGATACAAATTTATAATGTAAATTTCAATTTTTTTTTAATAAATTATAAAATAATAATAATAATAATTTTCTTTATAATGATTCTTACAATAATTATTACAAATAAAATTATAATAAAAAACAATTCCTTTTGAATAAAATATAAAAAAATTTAGCTGCATATAAATAAATTAATTAAAAAATATAAATTAATATTTATATAATCTATTTTTATAGTTTTATGATCCTTATAATAATTTCAATTTTGTATTGCCATTAAAATTATTCCTTGAATTTGACTTTAATGCCTTTCGATAGAGTTCAGTATATAAAATCAGAGTGTCTTGATTTTTTTTCACACTAATAATATGAAATTTTTAAAATATTTACCTGCAAGAAGTAAAATACATTTAATTAAATTTGTAATCTGCAAAAGATACAATTATAGCAGATAAAAAATCATAATACCCTAATATTACCATAAAATTTCTGATTCTTTATCTCCAATCTTTTAGTATAATGCTTATTCATTAGCCAAATTGATGAAAATATTGACCAAATCTATTGCAGGATGGTAACACCTTTAATAAAATCTACTAATAATCAAATAGTTAGCCATCTAAAGTTGAGAAAAATGTACATTTTATAATAGTATGCACAAGAATAGGCACCAATGTGCATATTATATAAATGTACATGATATATAATATAATTTTTAAATTTTATATTTGCTCTTTGGTAATATTAGAATTATGCTCAAATTTTTGCCCAACTCTTCTTGTTTTTTATATTCGTTCATTTTTTCAGAATTTTTTAGAACTTCTGTACTCTTATTTCTTAATTTTGTTCAAATATTATACTTTCTGGCCTAAATTATATATATTCTAATTTTCAAATATAAAATTTAGATGAGATAAAATGTGCATGGTTCTGAATCATTAATACACACAATTGAGAAATCATGCATATACATAAAACTTATCTCTAGAGCCATCTATACTATGAAAGATTCGAATCAATATGTAGAGCTTAGTCACTAAGTCTATACGTCAGTCAACAGTATGACTTATTGACTAGGCCAGAATCTTGTATGAAATATCATATAATATGTTATGATTTTATATCATATGATAAGGCAATTTTGATTCTATATTATATGACCAAGGGCAAATAGAGAACAACTCTATTAATATTGCTCTATTGGATAGAATTTTTGAATAAAGCCAATGGATACCAATAATCTCTATTAATATTTCTCCATTGCTCTATTGAATATGATTTTTGAATAGTGCCAATAGTCTATAATTTATATTAAAAATACTAATTTGTACGTGAATATAGAATGCTATAAACAAAAAGTTTATTGACCAGAATAAAAAACACTTACCATTTTTCTTATAGTTTCAAATTCATTTCATAACTGCTATTAATTATTGGCTCCATTGGCTCCATTAACCCCAATGATCTATTGACTCCGTTGAAAATTTTCGTAATAGAATATATAGCACAATATTGTAAACATTCGATAGAAAGCAATTGTAAAATAAATCATGAAAAAAATATAAAATGGAATCCAAACTTATATACCCCTTCAATATATCTCAAAACTTATACAAATATTTTCAAATAATATAATTCCAAGTTTGAAATTATTTTACATAAACTTCTACAAAAAATTAATTTAAAATGGTTAGATAGTATGAAAAATATATTAACAAAATATCAAAGAAAAGAGAATAGATAGAAAACTCACAAAATGGATGTCTTGTTAAAGAAATTGACCTGAAATTGGAAGTCTTAATATTGTATAAAAATCTTCAAGCAATTTCTCTTGCTGATAATGCACTACTATCAACTGCTGGATATTATCATTATCAGACAAAAAATGGAAAGGAAGACTAGATTTCTTTATTGTCTAGATATTCAGTTATCTTTTATATAGCAAAAAATTTTTATAAATTTAGTATTATTAATAAAAATTATCATCTTAAGTTTTAATATATTATTTACAATGATGATAATTTTGAAAAAATAAAAAAAATTAATTCAGAATATAGTTTTTTTAAAAATATATGAAAAAGAATTAATCCAAGCACTAAACATTTTTTACTTCAGTATCTTGGATTCTTGAATAATGATAATGTTAACTCTTTGAAAGTAGCTGTTACAACACATTATTTGAACCTTTTTCAAGAAAATCAGCTTCTAATAAATGCAAAAAAATATAAAATCTTACTGTAAGAAAATTTAAAAAAAAAGGCTGATGAAATAAATACTTTAATTGATACTGAAAGTAAAAAAGAAAACCCAAGTACTCTAATCCAACATGATATAATTTTAGAAAGAAAAGGTAAAAATTTACTTCTAGCAAGTATTCAGGCATTAATATTGGATTACAAGAAGAAAAAAGTAAATATCTGCAATCTTAATTGGCAAATAGACCATTTTAAAAAACACATGGAGCAATTGGAAAGTGAATTAGAACAAAGCTTTGAAAATAATAACTTGGATAAAAATAATTTGTTAGAAACAAGTATAGATGAAGTGATAGAATTTAATTAACTTGGTTTAATGATACTAGTTTTGACAAAAAATTATCTTTCATTAGTATTAATGCAACCTTGTCCTAACTGCAGTAATAGTAATCTATATAATAAAATATGAAATTTATCATCAATC